ACCCGACCCCGGATAGGCGGAAGAAAATGGATGGATGGAAAAAACAAAGAAATGTGAATCAGATGTGTTTCCATCAACTGGCTTGAAGTGAATCAGTTACGTCAGATGCATGTGTGTAGTAAACGGGAAGTAAAAATCACAAACTCACAGGGAAACATCTCAGGACCATGGAGAGAAGTTATCAGGAACATGTTGCTGCTATCAGGAAAGTTGTAATTATTCTGTTATCAACTAGTTCTGGTGATGTTCCTGCTGTCTGCAGACGTAGAGAAAGAAATGTGATTCTCTTCATGTTCTGTAATCTGTAATGTGTTGTGTAATCTCCTGTAGGTTACCAGCAGTGACTCCAGGCAGCGCAGTAAGGCTGCTGACAGCTTCCACAGGAGGGACTTCCACAAACCTTCTACCTTCTTCAACCACAGCTTTGAGATCCCCCACAGGAAGCCAGACTTTGAAGCAGAACTCAGATCACCAGGTCACCACAAGCTGAGGGTGAAACATGAAAGCCTGGATGACTTACAGGCATCAACATACTTCGGTCCCAGCACTACGTGGGAGCAGGGCAGCAGCAAGAGGCCCAGGAACAGAGCAGTGTGGCTGAACACAGAGGAGGAACCAGCTCCTGGTCTGCAGGACAGCATCAGTCTGATCACTACCAGCGGTCAGCAGCATCTCTCTGCTCTAAAGGACAAAGCTGTAAAGTCTCCTGCTTTTGCAACAACAGGTRATGGAATAAAAAGTGATGTTGCTCTGCGGGGAAGACATGATGCAGGTTCAGACAAACAAGGAGCACTGAAGAAGTTTAGGGACAAACATGTCCACGGTGCATCGTTTCAAGCAGACGTGTCATCCAGCGTTGGAACTCAGACTGAGCCTGGCGACAGGAAGAAGGGGAGGGACCATCCCTTTAAGCACAGCCACAGAGACAGACACACACTGAAACACTCCCAGGACGACTCTGAGCTCATTAGTGATGACATCAGTGACATTTTCCGTTTTCTGGATGATATGAGTGTTTGTGAGTCTCTGGGTGTTGTCCAGTCGTCGTGTCACAACAGTAACGGCTCTCTCTCTCAGGGAACTCTGAGGTCTGAAGATGAAAGCTCACCTGAACACACCACAGTCAGACTGGCCAAGTCCAAACTGGACCAGCTCTTCCATTCTTTGGAAAGCCCAGATGAAGAGTTGAAACTGAGCGTGTGGAAGCTGGTGATGAGGATTGGTGAGATTGAGAAAAAGCTCGAGTCTYTGTCTGGAGTTCACAGTGAGATGTCCCARGTCCTGTCCAAGCTCCACAAACTGGATGACCAGAACCAGCAGCCTGAGGCCCAGCACACAGGGAGGACATCAGCTGCAGCAGACGCACCACAGCTTTCCCCTCGTCTACACTGTGGCACCAGCCCGACGCCACATGTTTTCCAGTGCCACACTACAGGTCACACTGTCAGGAAGAAGCAGGGTGCAGGGGACCGGGACCGGGGCCAGTTAGAGGACAGTGACAGCCTCCGGACCAAGGCTCTGAAGAGGAGCATGTTTACCAGGAGGTCGTCTCGCTCGCTCAATGAGGAGAGCAGTGCCACGGAGTCGAAGGTGGYCAGCATCAGCAGCTCCCCCTGCAGCTGGAGGTCCCAATCCCACCCCCTCTACCCTGGAGACCCCCTCAAAGACCAGGAGCCAGAGTACAAGGACCACAACCGGAGAGCCATACAGGTACAGACACATTAGTGTTTTTCTTTGTGTGTGTGTTTTGTGAGTTTTATACAGGATTTACAAAATACCACAATGATTCAAATGATAACATTTGAACCATCGTGTTCTTATTATTATTGATGTTATAAACCCAGATTGACTGTTACTTAAAATCTTCTGTTTGTTCATAAATCCATCTGATCTGGTCAGAAATAATTTCTCTAAAGGTTTAGAGAACTGGTACTGAGGATACTGGTGTGGATTTACTGAACAGACTTTTCTCAGCTTTTTAAAAAACAGGAATTATTTTAGCTGTTTTCATATTTCTGTTGAAGATGAYCAGATACTCTACGTCAGCCCAAGTCTCGTCTCAACCATCCATGACTGCAGCAGTGCACAAAGTCAGGTCCATGAAGACCTGGATGCAGTCTGGTGTGGATGAACTGGACTGGTCTGCACAGAGTCCTGACCTGAACCCCACAGAACACCTTTGTGATGAATTAGAGCAGAGACTGAGACCTGGACCTTCTGTCCAACATCAGTATGTTCCTGGTTCAGGTTCTGAAGGCAGTCCTGTGTTGGACCCTGAAGGTGTTTCCTGATGTTAGAACATGTAGAGGTGATAAGAAGAAGCCAACAGTACTGAAGCTCCTGATTCTGTATGGATGTGCTCTGTAATTACAGGGAGACAGGAAGGGTCAGTATGAGACCTCCCAGACCCAGAGGCCAACAAAGACTGAGCAGGTCTTTGTTCCGTACACACTCAGCCAGCCCACCCAGGCCCACCTAAAAGGCAGTCACCTGTACACCAACATGAAGGTCAGCAGCCTGTCRGAGGAGAAGCACAGCCAGCCCTCCTGGACCCTCACAGAGTACTCCCACCATCCAGGAGACAGGAGGAAACCTCTGTCTGCTCTGGACCTGCAGGTACTGAAGCCTTCAGAGGACAGGACTGAGGACAGGACTGAGGACAGGACTGAGGACAGAGGACAGGACTGAGGACAGGACTGAGGACAGAGGACAGGACTGAGGACAGAACTGAGGACAGAGGACAGGACTGAGGACAGGACTGAGGACAGAGGACAGGACTGAGGACTGAGGACAGAACAGGACTGAGGACTGAGGACAGAGGACAGGACAGAGGACAGAGGACAGGACTGAGGACAGGACTGAGGACAGAGGACAGGACTGAGGACAGGACTGAGGACAGGACTGAGGTCAGGACTGAGGTCAGGACTGAGGACAGGACAGAGGACAGAGGACAGGACTGAGGACAGGACTGAGGACAGAACAGGACTGAGGACAGGACTGAGGACAGAGGACAGGACAGAGGACTGGACTGAGGACAGGCTGGACTCTAATGCAGTAATATAACAGAAGAACTGTTAGTAAAGCAGAGTTGTTGGACTGTGGGACAGAGACTGGGACAGAGACTGGGACAGAGACTGTGGGACAGAGACTGGGACAGAGACTGGGACAGAGACT